AGCATCCATCTATCCATCCATCAACCCATCTATCTATCTAACCATGGCTTTTTCATTGTGCACATAACCTGGATCATAGTGGATCTTGAAAGCTACAAATCATCCTTTCTTTTCACCTCTCAAATCATGTCATCTACACAGATAAACACTAGGGCCCTATCAGTGGCTGGACAGCAGTGAATGCCCCTCTGTCTTCCTCGCTCTCCCTCTGTCTCACACACACTCCGCTCAAACTGAGCGAGCTCAGAGTCGCTCTGCACCTGTTCACTCTGTAAAACATCCAAACACGAGTGCTGAATAAATAACCCAACCTAACACGCATCACTGCCAGGTTCATACACACCACAGCCCATAACCACACATCAATAAGTAAACACCACTCATTTGCCCTCCACAGCGCTCCCAATCCTTGCACTATGCTCAAACTGCTACCACCCTAAAGACAAACACACATTGATGCGCACAATGTGTGTTATAGTTAATGGTCAAATACAAACTGGGGTAAATAAAAAAACATCAAATGCATCTTTAATGGCAGGACACAGTGGCTTTAGAGCCCCCAGGTCCCTCTTCCTCCCTGGAGTACTGAGGGCAATGAGAAAACAGCACACTCACCTCTGTCTTTGTCCATCTGCCCATTCTCTCTTACATCCTCATACAACTACCCACCTCATTTTTCAACCCTATGCCCACTTTCCCATCTGCATAATTTAGCATGTCGTGCTTTTGTGCCACTTTGTCTCTCTTATTCTGCCTATTCTGCCATTTTTGTGTCTATCTGTTGTCCACTTTCAGGTTTGATGGAGTGGAAGGAAAAGACGATGCTTTGTCACTTCGCCGTCTCCTAATAAGTGGCTCACAAAAAAGGAAGGGTGAGAGAGGGATAAAGTTAAGAGATGAGTGGCTAGAAAGAGGGGTAGAGAGAATACAGGGCCTCTGCAGGGTGGCCACAAAATGGAGACTGGGACAGAAGCTGCAGCAGCTGTGGTGATGCCACACTTCACAGAGAGAGAGGCAGTGTGTGTGAAAGAGAAGGGGATTAAACAACCTCAATCAATGAATGCAAAAACACAGACATCACACTTTCCATTCCCTCTTCCCTCTCTGTTTCACCCTTCCCAGTATAATCAACCAATGACTCAATTAGTTTATCTTTGCAATTTCCTCCCGTGACATTTTTGAACAATAATTAAAACTACTGTGATATTCTATTTACATTTTTCTTTTACAAAAGACATTTTTAAAATGTACCTGTATAAATTTAAACCAACTTTATAAAAGCAAATATTTTTAGCTTGATTTAATACTGTAAGATGACTCACACTCAAACTGAATGAAGCATACTGCTGTCACCAAGTACATTCAGCTACACTATGTGATTCACATAAGTGTCTGTGTCAAAGGAATTTAAGGCAAAGCTACAGTACATCTAATGTCACATTGTGTCCAGTCTTACTGATCCCATTTCAGCAACGCTGTGCTCTAACTGTGCCATGGTGACACTGTGGCTGAATGCCATAGTTCTGTACTGAAATTTTCCCTGATGTGAATAAATATATCTGCAATAAGACAATATTTCCTGGTTTATTGTCCCAGGAAATTATTAGACTCACTCTAACGTGTGCCATGTGTGCACCCAGTGTCATCACTATCCTATTCAAGATCATGCACCGTGAAATTTACAACTTATAAAACTGTGGTCAGAGGGAAGAAGAAAGAAAAGCAGAAAGACAAAGATGTTTATCTCCACATCTGTAAATAAAAGATCTACCCTGTGCACAAATATACAGGTATGTGCACTGTGTGCGTGTGTGTGTGTGTTTTTACACACAAGTGTGGTGGAGATGAGTCGTGGTGATGCACTAATAAAAATCAGGCAGCGATGCATCCTCACACCTTCCTCATTCCTCCCGCCAGTTCGCACCCGTTACCATGGTGACCAGATAAAACTCACACTGTTTTAAGCTCCAACAGGAGGAGGAGATGGATACTAACAAAGTGACACACACACACTGATGAAGTTCCATCATACACATCCGTCAACAGAGCATCCTTTTTCAGTTCCCTAACTGAGAGGCAAACAAATGTTAATTTTCTAACTGATGGTAACACCAGCAAACCACCAATTAGCCGGGGAGACATGGCTAGATAGAGAGATAGCAGGAGAAGGGGAAATATGACAGGGGAGTAAAAACCAGGATAGCCAGTCAACACACAAAGCCCTCCTCTGTTTCACTGTCTGCCTTTCTACAGTATGTCTACTCCCCGCAGTCGCTCCATGAACGGGTCTCAACACAAACAGATTTGGCTGTCAAATAGTGACATGACACCCAGGCAGGGTCATCTCGCAGTGAGACCAGCTGTCAGCAAACAGCCTCCTGCCTCGTCATCAAAGCCCATTCAAACCCAGCTTAACTGACCAACACAGCGGTCTGCGTGGCATGTGTCATCCCATCAAGCCAGTACCTGGGCATACACTGTCCCTAATAAATGGCAAAGCACTAGAGCATCTCAAGAACTACCAGAAGAGAGAAAGCAGTACATGCCACCAGGAGCTGAGAGATGGATGGATGGATGGATGGATGGATGGATGAGGTGTGTGGTGGAGAGTAGAGTGGTGTGATGAGTGAGCATGTGCACTTTGTGTGCGTGGCCATAAGGCTGACACAGGACACCAGCCTGTAACAGGGAAGGAAAGAAATGAGAGGAGGCTTCAAACCAAGAATGGGTGGAAAGAAGAGGAGCATTGTGTTACTACTAAGACCTATTCATTAGCCTCCAGAAGACAGAGAAAAATGAAACAAAAAAAAATAATCAAACTTTTTGTAAAAGCACATTCAGATGATGTAGGACTAGTATACTAAATAAAATAAAATACTGCATAATACTACAATACTGCATAACCTAAAAATTATTTTCTGGATGAATCAATCAGTCAATCATTTTGTCTGTATGACCCTCTGGTGGCATATCTTGTTTAGCTCAATCACAAATCCATAAGCTAAAACCTTTCACTGATATTAAAGTGAAAAAATAGAAATCTTCACACTGGGGAAGCTGGAACAAGCAAGTGATTTTTAGATAAACAAAAAAACAAAACAAAGCACTGATAATTGATAATCGACATGTTATTTCAGCTTCAAAATAGTGTTTATTTTTCTTGTACCATTCCAAATACACTGTATATACTATTGTCACTTTATAGTGAGAATTAAAAAAAAAAAAAATCATCCATCATCTTGTCTTCAGTTTTTAAGTATTTGGACATGATCAAAATGTATGAAGACCCTTCAAGCTCATGCTTTTTATTAAATTACTGACGAATACATTCACTGTATTACGTTATGTAATATTCATGTTATGATATTTGAATATTAAATCTTTTTTTGTTTTTTGTTTTTTAATTAAAGCTTGTGCATGACTTGTTCTGATAAGCTTTGCCGCAGAAACTGTTCATGCGACTGTATGTATGTGTGTGTCGGTGTGTGTAAACATGCTCCTGCTTGTTCATATGTGCATGTTTTACGGAATAAATCCATCAGCTGATCGATAACATACTCCCACTGAGGTCTTACCACACAACCATGATACAGTGGCTTTTACAAACACACACACAAAGCTATCAGTTAAACAGACTGGCCCACTCTCACAGTGAGGGATCTGTGACAAGAGAAAGGGGAATCCAACAGCAAGCTTTATCGATCCAGACTGGAAACCCCCCTCAGGCCACACACACACACACATACACACTAAAGCAGCGCTGGATCAATGAGTGCTCTCATGTGAAGGACAGAGCCCATACAAAAAGGCGCACACATCTCTATAAACACACATTGCACACACTATTGAAAGAGATGAAAGGGGTGCTCGCTATCAGAGCGAGGTAAGGGGCAGAGGGAGCAATACATATCTGACCTCAACAGTCTCATCTGACACTCTGCAATTTGCCATTGCTCCATGGAGCAAATGTTAATGCTGCACCGCACAAGCTTGCGCACGCACACACACAGCATACATAAACTCCAATGTGCAGACATACAGCAGTGTGTAAGGAGGTTCGGGTTTCAGGCTAACATTATTATTCTTCAGTTAAACATCCAGTGATTTCAACAGAGGATCAGATGATGCTCAGAGAACAGCTCCAGACACAGCAGAGCCCTGGAGGTGTGGCTGCTCTCTTTTGAGTGACTGAGATGAGCAGCTAAACAGATCTATCACTCATCAAATTAGATCCACCCAGCCCACACACACAGACGCACACACACACACACACACACACACACACACACACACACACACACACACACACACACACACACACACACACACACACACACACACACACACACACACCTCTCTCCCTCTCTCTCTCTCTCTCTCTCACGCACACACACACAGCATGAGTATACTAATGCCTACAGCTATTGCTAGTGAGTGAGGAGCCAGGGATGTGCCAGTAAAGGCCATTTCATCAGGCTTGTTTCTGAATGATTGGAGCATTTTTTTAAACCATCCTCCATCTTCTCACTCACTGGCAAATGAGGAGATGCCAGGGACACAAACAAAGTGTCAATGAACGGCTGTTGACAATCACAAATATGGGGAGGAAATAATTCAACACAAAAAATGTGAAAGAAGTTCAAATGTTTTGAGATACTATAACAACTTAGAATTTGGGATTTATTCAGTCTAAAAATAACTGGAGAGAGTTCTCACCTCACTAAATGTTGTTGAGACCACTGATATACTGGTATGACATTAGATCACTTGCTTTCCATCATCTCCCACCAACTGATCAAACACAGCAAGCACGTACTTGGCCAAATATAACTCACATGGTCAACAAAGGGAGTTTGCAGCAACAGTACATTGCAAAAAAAGAAGCAGAACTGTGAGACGACAGTAATACAAGGTGGACATGGGGCTAATTTTAACATAAGATTGACTTTGTTTATGCTTTCGGTGAATCTTACATAATGATCATTGACTGAATTTCCTACCTGGGATGATAGAGACCGTGTCCTTCTCCCAGGACACCACACTGACGTACTCCTGGACGGCTGAGGGGATGAGGCACTTGAACACGGCAACATTACCTCGCATGGAGCGCTGGTCTGCCACACGGACTGTGTAGGGCTCCCTGAACACTGGTGTGAGGAGAAAAGAGCTGAAGTGAGTCAGTGGAAGGATGTTGGCTGCTAGTACTGGTGGATGCCCCACCAGTACAAGGTTTAACATAACCTTGATGTTTAATTTTAACTGATGACAAAATGGTGAAAATGGTGAAATTTGGTGTGACTGAAATTGGGCTGGAGTAGATCAAAGATTATTTTGATCCATTAGTTGCCAGAAAATGTTAGAAAATAGCTAAAAATGTCCATCACAGTTTCCCAGAGCCAACAGTCCACAAAGCTCTTCAATTATTAATGATATAAAACACAGAGAAGCATCTCATTGTCACATTTGTAAGGCTGGAATCACTGAATGTTTAGCATTTTAGACCTTTTGGTTACCAAACCACTGACAGATGTCCGTGGTTGTCATGCAATGTTATGCTTGACTAAAATCAATGGTAGCAGTACAGTAGCACTTCGTACTTGAAACAATTTCTCAGAGCCCAAAGTAACATCTGCATATGGCCTGTTTTATCGGCAAAACAGTTCAAATTCCAGTTTGTCATGATATTAAACAGAGTATCAACTTATTATTGGAAATACACCAAAACATTTGATTTAACCAGTTATTCATCTGAACTATGGTTTGATGGCCTTCGTTTGTGTCCATGTACTAGTAGCAGAAGAGTAACAATTCACTCTTCCTTACCGTACACACTGACATTGTACATTTGACATCCTTCTGTTTTGTTTCACCAACACTAAAATTAGGGGTGGGCGTAGTCAACAAACTAGTGATCTGTTCAACCACATAAGGCCAGTGTTTCTATCTTAAACTCACACTGTGACTGTAAGAAGAGCCAACTTGGAGCTCTGTTGAAGAGAATATAAAGTGAGCGGCCCTTGGCCTTTTAAAGACCAACGTCACAAATGTTATGAGACATCAAGGAGCGGACGGTTTGCTCACGGCCAATGCAACAGTCACATGCAAGCACCAGACATCAAAAACACACCCCCTGCACATGGCATGCAGAGCACTATCCTGTAAATCTGTGCCAGTGTACAGAAAGGATGGTGGTGATTAAGAGGGGCTTAATGGTGAAAACAGTAGCCTGTAGCTAACCAAATTATCTCTCTAGTTTACTCTGTCACATTTAGATTAGTGACAAAATGTGAAATGCTGAATCAGGACATACATTTTCATTAAATAAATTAAGTAAAGTGAAATTAAATTAATGGATTATTCTGTTGAAGAGGAGTGACAGGTAGTTCAAGGGCACGCTAACTTGACTGAATGAACAGGGACCATGTGGCCAAATATATTAGCACTGTATTAATAAATATTGATATCTGCTTTTAATATCATTAATGTTGAAGGAAGCACATTCAACATGTTCTGCTCTTTATCCAGTTTTAGAGTTCCAAACCATTTCCATATCACTGATGTTGTGGGATCTCTCATTGTATGCCAGTCTGACTGGTGGTGCATTTTTGTAATGTTTCCCGTACATACGACCTATGTAGGTTAACCCTATTGATTGCGCTTGTTGAAATGAATGCAGAAAAGTTAAATTACTCATCATTTAATTATCGTTATTATGGGAATTGTTTTCATAGCAATTATCAGTATAGCTTTATTGCCCAACCCTAGATGGGCTTTCTAAACTGAACTGAGTGCGCTTACCCTTCACCATGGGGTGTAACACTGGGGTGTTGCCAAATGTTTCTCCAGTAACTTTGACACACACAATAATGAAGCTATTTGGCATATGCAAGATAAAGCACATACAAGTATATTTACAGAAATAAGACAGGGGCATCAGGCTGATGTTGGGGAGTGTTTCCGGTGTGACAATCTATCAGCCAGGCTGCCCTTAGAAATGAGGACAGTAATTGTTTAACAATGTCAAACACACACTTACACACAGAGACAACAGAGGGAGTGGTCCCACCCTCCTGTGTGATCGCTCTCTAACCCAGCTCTCCAGTGATATAATTAACGCCTAGCCTGAAGGCCACTTTCCTTGGTCATTAATAATGCTATATGCCAGTCGCCACTGTCACTGGAACCCACTGGAACCAAATCCTTGTCCTTGTGGAGAGTTTTTCACCATCAAGTCCAAAATTTAATCTCTCAAGCCTTTGTCTGATTCTGTCCATGTCCTTTATGGTGTTCTACTTTTTCATAATTGGCTAAACCATTCCTGACATGTGAGGAATTAAAATGCACTATTTTGTCAGAATTGTAGAAATCTAGCTCTGCACCATATATATTACCTTGCCAAACATAGATGAAGTACACTGGATAATGGGTCTTTAGGATATCAGCTGTGGTGTTAGTACGACCCTTTGTATCTCAGCTAAACTAATGGTAACAGTAAAATATCCTCTGAAGAACATATTATTTTCCTCACCTGACACACAGGCTGCTAATGTATACTGAAAACTAATGTGTAAACAAATCTATGTTTAAGGGCAAATAACTCAAATCAAGAGTTCATTTCAATTCTTCATGTAAAGAGCTCCTGCTTTTCATTGATGTCATCTACCTGCAGATCAATAGCCACAATCGACTGAGTAGCCTCTGCTGTTGTGGCTGAGCCAATTCTTTCAATCATTTATTTACTCTCTGATTGACCCTTCCGCCTCTCGTCAATAGCAGGGAAAGTCCCCAAAGCCCACTGAGCCGCACCGAGTGTTTAAAATCAGCTTGACAGCTTGGAAATGTTTGGTGCAATGATGACAGTCATCACATGTCAAGTCAGTGGAGGTTCAAATCTAGTCAAGGTCACCTTAGGTTTGTACTTCCTGTGCTTAGACCAGTGTTTGCTGCTACCCTTTAACAAAGTGTTGCTTAAGCACTTATCTCTGAAATTAAAATCAGTCAGATGAGCCCTGTATAGCAACATGACCTTGTAAACAACCATGTAACCAGCTCCAATAAGAGGCAACTGTTTTGATAGCATTGTCATTTAGTACACGTTCTTCTTCCAAGCTATGAAAAACACAAAGGAAAGAAAACATTACATATTCATTCTTTTAAGCCTTGTGACACGATGCAAATGGTAGCCCAACTGATTTGTGTGTAAATTGCACTCCCCCTCATCGCATGCGCAGCAGAATCATTAGGGTGTTACTGATGCCTGACTATATGCAGCCTGGTTGCCTAGAAACGAGCTAAAACATGGGTCTGGTGCACTGGGCGCACTGGGAGGCAAGTCCTGTATCACTGTCGCTTCAATAATTAACGATGGGGAAACCAAATACTGCATTTACTTATTCATAAAGCGAGCAGCAAAAACACAGAAGGAAAAAGATACAGAAACATAATGAAATCCAGGAGAAACGAGTGGATGCGGGTTTCATTGTTGAATGGTTGCGATGAGAAAAGCAGTCTTTGTGTATCAGATTCAGGGACCCTGTACTTACTGTATTAGTACGGAAATGTCAACCAGAGAAAGGATGTAGGGGGGGAGATGGAGGAAAGGGATCCAAACACCTGCTGTCTTGGCCTGGCCTGGGCCAGCTAGGTTTGTGTTTGTGTTAGTCGGGACAAAGGGGAGGTGAGGTGAGCTCAATGAACAGGTGTCCTCATTTCATTTTCTGAAGTTTGTGTAAGGAGGTGTTGGGTGCACAAACATGAAACCCTAGGGAGGAGAGGAAAGGACATCCATAAAATAGAGTAAGGCCTTTTTCCCGAGGCTATAGATGATGCCAAACTGCTAGATTTATTACACACGAGGGGGTTAAAGGGGTTAAAGGGGTCCAATTCACAAATATGGCCTAATAGTGAGTCTTTGTGCCAATGTGAAATAGATTTCCTTTGCCATTTTTCTTTGACAGCTTACAGGTTTTCCCCTCAAAATCTAACCTACTGCTTTCCATAGGAATAAAACACTTAAACAAGGCTGACACTAACAGATAATAAATCAATCCAAAATTGTTATATTTATTATTTAAGTTACCATTTGGTTTGAGCCCACATATACCATATTCTGAGAATGTCAAACGTTTCAAAATCACTAGTCTGAAAGGTCAAAGTCAGCCAAGTGACAGAAGCATTAAAGAACGAAGAAAACAACTTTTAAAAATAAAATAACTAAAACTGGATAAATTGATCTTTATGTTATTTTAAAACAAAAATGATGATTAAGCAACTAAAATCCTTTCTAATCCTCCGACATGTGCATTCTCAGTTCCATCACATCACGCATGATGCCTTATGAGGTGCTGTGATTGACATGACAGTGAAATGGATACAAAACCAAGAGGAACATCAGGAATCAGAGCCGTGTCAATACTGAAAAACTAATTATTATTCAAGTGTTGTTTTATTCTTGTTTTGCAAATAAATATTCATAAGAAATGGATATAAGCACTTTCTTTATGTGAAAAAAGCCCAACAAGACAGTTAGAGTGATCTGTTCAGGTAACGGGAGCAGAAAACATTAGGGCTCCCAAAATAGTGATGAAGAGCCAGGTTGGAGGGAAAGCATAAGAATAAACTTTATCGCCAATTATTATCAAAAATACAAGGAATCTGACTCCAGCCCAATGGCCCCCAATGTGCACAACAATATAAAAACAGAATAAAACCAAAACCTCAAGTAAAGAAAAAAAAAAACAAGGACAAAAATGAAATAAATGTACATACATACTGTATGTATATACAAGTTAAATGAGCTACTGTAGCTAATGTACATTAATACATTGTTGCACAGTGATGTGTACAGCGTCCTGCCATACTGTTTAACATAGACTAACTGTTCATAAGTGTGATGGCCCGGGGGGAAGAAACTCTGTGTCTAGATTTTTTGTCGTACAGTGTCCTGTAGTGCCATCTCAAACAGTTTGTGCCCAGGATGTGAGAGGTCTGCAGAAATCTTCTCTGCCCTCCTTTTGACCTGTGAGGTGACCAGGTCCTCCATGGAGGGCAGGCTGGCACCAATGATCTTTTCTGCAGTCCTGACTGTCCACTGGAGTTTGTTCCTGTCCTGTTTGGTTGCTGAACCAAACCAGACAGTGATGGATGAACAGAGAACAGATTTGATGATTCCTCTGTAGAACTGAATCAGCAGCTCCTGGGGCAGGTTGAACTTCCTGAGCTGATGCAGGAAGTTCATCCTCTGCTTCGCCTTTTTGATCATGGCATTGATGTTGTTTGTCCACTTCAAGTCCAGAGAGATTGTGGACCCCAGGAACTTGTAGGACTCCACGACTGAAACAGTGCTGTTGAATATAGTGAATGGAGATAGGGTGGGGGAGCTCCTCATAAAATCCACTATCATCTCCACTGTCTTCCATGTGTTCAGCTCCAGGTTGTTACAACCACACCGAAGGGCAGCAAAGTCTACAAATAGGATCCGTGAGGATCCCTAGTGAGTCTAGATGTTGCAGGATGTAATGCAGTGCCATAATGGCTGCATCATCCACTGACCTATTTGTTCGGTAAGCAACCTGCAGGGGATCCTGCCAGGGGTCTGTGATGGCCTTCAGGTGGACCAATACCAGTCTCTCAAAACACGTCATGACTACAGATGTCAGAGCAGCAGGTCTGTAGTCATTCATTTCCTTGATGGAGGGTTTGATGGAGGGTTCCTTGTGCAAGGAACATTTAAAACAAGAGGGAACTACACAAAGCTCCAGTGATCTGCAGGAAGATGGGAGCCAAGTGGTAGGCACAGACTTACAGACAGGAAGGGGTCACATTGCCTGGGCCTGGTGTCTTTCTGACCTTTTGTTTCTTAAAAAGGCTATGCACATCTTTTTTTCATAGACCCTCAGAGGAGGTGGGCTGATGGAGGGAGAGGAGGTCCTAGAGGAAGCAGCTACTGGTTGCAGGTCCAAGATGAGGTGAGAGAAGGGTGTAGAGTTCTGCCTTTCAAACTTATAATAATGCTCATTCTGCTCATCTGGGGGGCTCTCCTGTACTCTGTGATGTTCCTTAAGCTCCTCCAAACTGACAATGGCTCATTGAACACTGATTCATGTTCTCACCGTTTTGACCACAGGCTTTGCAGCTTTAAGTTTCTCTCTACAAGTGGGAATGAGATGGATCATGCAATATTCCGAAAGCCCAAGGGCTGCATGGGGAACAGAGTGATAGGCGTCCTTAAGTACAGTATAGCAGTGGTCTAGTATGTTTTTGTCCCTGGTGGGACAACTGACATGTTGCCTGTATTTGGGGAATTTGTGGGTCAGGTTTGCTCTGCTAAAATCCCTTTTTCCTCCTCATAAATCCGCTCTGTAGCTTTGAAATCCTGGCAGCTGAACAGCCTCATAAGGGATCGAGTCATTAAGCCAAGTTTCCACCAAGCATAATACCACAGAACGAGAAAAATGAAAGCTAGTCCGATTGAGGAGCGACAGTTCGTCCATTTTGTTAGCTAGGGAATGGAAATTTGGTAGGTGTATGGCCAGGAGCGATGTTCAGTAAGCCCGCCATCATAGCCTTATGAGGGTGCCAGCCCTTTTCAGCATCTCCTCCAACTCCCGAAAACAGCTGCTGCTCCGCTGGCTAAGATGTCCAAACAGCTTCCACTGTCAGAGAAAACTGTCCAGACTGAGCTGTCGGATGTTCAGAAGCTCGTCCATAGTAAAAGTAATCTGGGCAGGGTTGCAGAATACCGACAAAAACAACAACAACAACAACAACAACAACAACAAAAGCACACAGAAGCACACGACTAAGGCAGCCTTGGTTGGCGCCATGACATTCCTGATGCAGATATACAATTTAAATAAATAAATAAAACCTATAAAAACAATGATATTCAACACAGCAGAAATCTATCCAATGCATATGCTGAGTGCATGTGGCATCAGTAAACAGTAGGAGTGAGTGATAAAGTACACACACAAAATGCATTTGATTTGATTTTTTTTTCCAACCTTTTAAGCAAAGCAGCTATTTGATTCAATTACTTTCTAAATAATCTGACAATCAAATAGCTTGAAAAGTTTTGTCATACATTAAATCAAAGTTGGCCTTAATTTTTGTCATCTCATTATCAACTGAACAAATAATGCATGTATTATGTCTATTATGATACATCGCACAACTTTAGGTTTTAATGTTTGATAGGTGATTTGTATGGCAAATGCAAAATAAAAGAAACCAGTGGCTCCCTGAAATGTAAGAAAAGACACACCAGAAAAATCAGTTCTCCAACATGCATTTCAAACTGATCAGCAGTCCTCTTAAAGAGCATAAACATTGGTATGGTCCTCTGAAGACCTCACTCTGAACACGAACCATTTCAGGATGAAGGCCAAAGTGAAGGCACACCTGAAATTGCTCTGGAGTGTTACATTCACTCCAGTTCTACACTGATTAAATCCCTAACATTCCTACAGCAGTTTCTGTCCTAAAAGTAATTGTTATTCAATAGCTGTGCAGCAAATCTCAAATTTTTAAACAAAAAAAATTTGTGTGCAATAAACTGGTATTAGAAACCATCAATCAAACAAGCTCGAGTAAAACTAAATACAGAAAACGACCGTCTTAATGAGAGAGCCAAATGAAAACATATACAAGAAAACAAGCAGCCCACATAATGATTTTCATAAATGTAGAGCTATCGAGACAGGTGCTACTGCTATTATTGGACCACGATCACCATGCATGGGAGAGGGTGAGAAAAAGAGGGAGGCATAGAGAGTGATGTGAAAAGATGGAAGAGAAAGAGGGGGGAGAATGAGATGGATGGCAAGGGAGAGGGGGTGTGGGGAAGATTTTGGGGGGGTGTCACACTGCGAGCTGTCAACTGTCATCATTCTCTGGCACCACCTGAGACAGGGCATGCCACACCCTAGCGCTCACGCCTCTGTCGCCTATGGCAACTGCAGAGTTGTGTATGTATGCGTGTGTGAAAGTGAGCATGTGAGTAGGGCTCTGGAGGTAATGAGGTGCACACACATGCATGTGAGCCCTGCTTACGGAGCTGGGGAGCTGCGGTTGCCTCAGCATTTAATTGATTAATTGTTGTAATTATCTGGGAGGGAAGGTCATCCCAACACTGGGGCCAGCTAGAAGGTCACTCTCACACCAGAGGGACCGGCTTCCTCTAGGGGCTACAAAGGCCATATGGGTGTGTTTCTGTGTGTGGTGGTGAGGAAGACAATCCTGCAGCATTTTGGAGAATTATGTTGTTCATGTAGGGAACTGCCGAGTGTCTAACTGTACAGGGCTGATTGACATAGTCAAAATGTCAGCCTAGCTAGTACCATGACCTGAAAATCCACTTTTTTCATGATTCTGCTCATATCTTTCCATGTCTGTAGCTTATTCTCCAAAAGCTTTCCTGCCAAACACCCTGACAAAGAACTGGCATCTAAACACCAAGAGCCAGCTTGACAAAAATGGCTCTGTGTGCATGTGTATATAGAGTAAGTGTGTGTGTGTGTGTGTGTGTGTGTGTGTGTGTAGTTAGGGGGCTTTCCAGTCCATGGACAGATGGAGAGACTGGGAGACAGGAGGCCTTCTGGCATGAGGTACATACAGGCTGGTGTGAATGCAAGTGTTTGCCTGTGTGTCTCTAAGCAGGTACATGCATGTATGTATGTGAATGTACACACAAGGGGATTTTTAATAGACAGGGTCAAGACGTGGTACTTTGAGACACTTCACCCCCACTGAGAGATGTCGGTTTAGGATACAAATATGGCTGCCGTTAGGGTGAGCGTATTTATCGACGCTGAGCTCTAGCATTGTTTTATAAAGATGTGGTGAAGTCAAATAATTGGGAATGAACAAAACGATTAGTTTATATATAACCTTAATGCTCTTAAGGCGCCAAGTCCTTTTATACTTCTAAGCTATGTTAGCTTTATACAGATCAGTTTCCTTGCCATTCTATTTTACCTGCAGTACAGTATAATGTACTCAACAGCTGTGGCTCTTATTTAGTGTTAGAAAAATAATCTTACTGAGGTCAAACTGGGCTGGAGATAAAGTTTTTAACAGAAATTCTCTGTTACAAACTGTAGCTGTGGTGTTACCAAGATGTTGGAATTTAGTCTGAAGGGAGGGTCTAATGAAGACAACAATGAGTTGCATTGTGGGAACTGTAGGATCCCTTTTTTATGAAGCCTGACCCTTACTGTACTTGGAAATAAAAGTCAGAACATCTCGGCTTCAAATACTTTAATTTTAACTGTTTTTAAATATTTTATAATAATCTGACTCTTAAAAGGTACATTCCATTTACCTTGGAACTTGGAAGTCAGAACTGGGAATGACATCATAACCAAGTTAACTGTGTTCCAGTTTCATTTAACCATAACACCAGTTGAGCCAGGTTATCCATTATTAGCCATTGTTAGCAATACCAGTTTATAACAATGCATTATGTGGTATTTTGCACATACAAACACATTAGCAACATGTTCACAGATAGAATTTGGACAGTGCTGTATGTACGACCGTTTCACTGGGACACGAATAAGACATAAGTGCTAATAAAGAGTATATTACTGCTGATGTGCGTAGCAGCCATCTTGGATTTTGAGGTCAGGGTTGATGAAGTTTTCAAAAGTCAAAAATCTGTTCCCGTTCAATTTTGTTGTCAGCTATGTAGATTTAAAAAGTGCAGATGCTGCTTCAGGAGGTTGAAAATGTAATGTGACTGAAAATGTAAACATTTAACAAATGTTTAAAGCCTCAGCTTAAGGACTAGTGGCTTAGTTTGTGTGTAGTGTGTCCAAGCCTCACCTGCTTTGATGTGGATGCTGGGGCTTCGAATCTTGCCTGCCTGGTTCTCAGCAGTGCAGAAGTACTCATTGTCATGGATAATGCTATTATAGGCGGAGGGAGAGAAGGGGAAGAGCTGGAGGGTGCCATTGGCATGCACGTGGCGGATATGGGGTACGTCGTAAATGTCGTCTCCGGCAGCCAGGTACCAGCGCAGGACGGCATGGGGGGCGCCGCCCGCAGGGCAGGGCAGGGACACCCCCACCGAGCTGGAGAAGGTCACCCGCTGCAGGGAGGCGTTCACAAAGTACAGCCGCGTGGAGACAACATCCTCACTGTTGGCTGTTAAGATGAGAGAAAAGAAGAGTTAGTTAGCAAGTGTCAGATATACAGGCAACGTTCACAAAACTGACATGTATGAAGAGGGGGAGCGTGTGCCAAACCTAAAAGCACGCAGAGAAATGCTTAAGATTCATCATTGAAGTAACATCTAGTATCAAAACAATGTGTGAACACATTAACCCTTAAGGTGTCCACACTCCATATACAGTATGTACAAATGCAGTCAACAGTACTGGTCTGACTGCTGAAGTAATAAGTTGTAAGCTATGGGATCAGCCCTTTGTAGATATGAAAGGTTTTGGTCAAAACGATGTTTTACTCAATAAATAATAACAATAATAATATAATTATTACTGTGCCGCATGAAAGCACAAATGGCAATATTGACAGTTAATTTAGAAAAAAAAACTAATCAAATTTCTCTTTTGTATCCACAGACACCCAAATACAGTGTATTCACACTGGATCTACAGACATCCAGGTCGCCTCTACTCACACAACTTCCTCCCTGTGTGCCAATCTCCAGTCATCCATCTCATCCCATATGCATTATCCTCATATCGCTAATCTAATGTAATGCATCCAGGGAGTCCTTTGGAAATCTGCCTCTCAATAGGAGGGAAAATGGGTCACATAACTCAAACCCCCTCCACCACCTTTATCTATTCTATTGATACTTGCTGTCATGCAGGCAAAAAAGTATTCACACTGGTGGGATAAACTGATGCATGTCCTAGGCCGGCTGAAGTCTGTCATTTCACTGGAAGAAGGCCTCTATGTGTAGCTGTAGAAGCCTGAGGAGTTTAGCTGGATAGCGCAGATGTTTGCTGTGGTAGAGATGAAGAGCTGCTGCCAGATAAGTTGTCCTAGGGGAGAGATAGACCAGAATACAGCCTCTCTCTCATATTCCTCTTCCACTTTAGAGTTGGGTATGGAGGCATCTTTTAAGATCTGTGTTTCAGTGTGTATGTGTTGTTGGGATTGGGGGGGGTAGAAGAGTGTAAAGAAGTGCTGAGCTCAGCTTGGCTGGAGGCCAGGGGAAGACGCTGTGCCCCGAGCCAGAGAATTTTCTTCTCAGACAATAATACTTAATTAATCCCTTTTTCTGGATTGTGTCAACAATCCCAGGACTAGTCCTATCTCTTCAATTCTCTCTGCACTGGGAGAATATAGGGTGTTTGCTAGGACACATCAACTGAGATATAAAGCCACTAACAGATGTCATTTAGGCTCCAATTTCTACAGAACCTCTGCATCAATGGATATCATTGCTAACCAGCTATAGAACGAAAACTGTCTTTTTAAACTCATGGCAAGAACATGGATGAGTGGTTAACACAAAGGATAATTTTGTTATAAAGAGCAACATGCAATGACATTAATAAAATGAACATGAATGGGCTGAATTCCATGTGAAAAGGCTCAAAAATGGAATACAGGGATTAGGGATAAAACTCAGGCTGACATAAGGTGCTTTTATTATCTGTCACTTTATGCATATCTATACCCCACTCTCATCAATTTGACTTATGTGTACATTTCTTTTTGTTTCCCATTTTCCATAAATGATTTAACCCTTCCCATATACCCATCCAAGACACAAACACAGTTTCTCTTGTGTTTTTCTGACACACGACAAACACGCGATGTTATGGGATATGAATTTGTATGCCAGACGCAGAGAGTTAAACCCACATAATCTCCTTTCACACTTAACACACATGGTCTATCTACTCTGTCATCGCACTTCCGTGGGAGGCCGATGTCCGACTTCCCTGGTTCTAGTGCAGCTGTGGGTGTGGAGAGGAAGGTGAAATCTTGGGAGCCACGCACAAGTGCAACATTATAGACATGACAGAGGTGACTGCTTGGGCAAAAGGTGCTCGGGTGCAAAGGATGCCACCGACTGAATGAATATGTGTATGTGTGGTAAGGTCAAAGGAATAGACAGGCTCATGTTAAACAACTCGCTCAGGTCTTGATGTAAAACCAAGCCAAGAGCAAAGGCTGAAGGGGTGCAGGCTGTAATTGATGCTCTGATGCATGTGCAGAGCAGGAGACAGAGCATGTGCAGAGATGCTGAGGAGGTAGAGAGTCACTGTTTGCCTGCCTACCAGCTAAAATTGGAGCAGATCTTCTGTGTTCAAAAATCCAAATTCAGGTCAAGTTCAATCCATCCCAGCATTCAAATCCATGCCAATCTCTCTCACCGGCTGCTGCGCTGACTGATCTGCACTTTCAGCACCATGAACAGCAGCACAACACACTGCTGGGTAGGGAACACACGTGGAAGTACTCTCACCGAGCAAATAACGAAGAAACTATTAGCAGATGATGGTGACGGTGACCCGCTTCTCTCTAATGACAAGTGCTATTTTTAGGAGCACAATATCTGCATGACAAAAATGACTTTTTCTACCTGTAACAGCCATCACACAAGAAACACTATCACTGTACAAGTGTTCAGAATACTTCTTTCCACATACTGGTGTTGACTTCTCTTTAGAGATGTGAATATTTTTATCCAGTGCCCCCCTCCCCCCACAGGCTCAACCTGTGGCTCTATCCCTTCATTAGATGGGATAGCCTTTATGGAACTGTTTGATATTTTGCCACAGAGAAAACTGGTGGTGGTGGTGGATCTGTAGCTGCATGTGTGAATGCATTTGAGATGTTCCTGGAACGGCCAACGTTAAGGCATCATCTGTTTCAGAGTAGTAGCAACTGGATGTTCAGTGTTCTACTAATGCTTTCCTACTTAATTTGATTTTTACATGCTAACTATTTTTGGTACAAAACCTGGTGTTACAGCTGACATATAACTGGCACAGCTGGTCATAGCTTAAACGCAACTATTTACAAATCAGCATCATGACAATTTGTAACCCTATTTGTGTGTTGATAACACAAATATGTCATTTCTTATGTATAGGTTTTTAACTCAATCTTAATCTCAGTGTTTTTAAAGCTAAGTTAGTGCACAGCTTGGATAATACTATACTGTTTGACTAGTGGTTCTCTAAACTTCTGGCTTGTGCCACCTTAAAGGGAAACTGCATCGCCTCCTAAATTATCCATTAACTCACAAGAAAAAGGACAACCTTAAAGGAAACTCTAAATAAATAAACAATGTTGTGTAACAGAATATCTTTTTTTACGTCTGTCCTTTTTTTTTTAAATTTGACTCAACTCCAAGGTTAGGAACCACTAACTAGTGCTTTAAAACTACTGTAGATAAACTGTTCAAGGCCAAATAAACCTTAAACCATCCAGTGATGTCATCAAAAATGGCCTCGAGCAAAAATTCAAAACAGCTCAGATGCAACAACTCAAAGCTCTGGGAAGATAAACAACAGCATCTACAGCTTATGATGTGATGGCCAGTCACTTTGTCCTGTCGTATGAATTCAGGCCACTGAGTTTACACACACGCTTAATCATCCAGAGACACGTGAACAACTACACAGAAGCAAGACCCAGTCAACATGGCACAGAATGCGGCCTCCAGCGGAAGCTGCACTAAACTGTGTGACTGAGGGCATAAACAAATTATCCAACATAGATTTTTTTTTTTTTTTCATGAAATGGGAATGATGTGTATAGATGACCACTGGGAAACTAAAGGAGCAATGCTTGCAACCAAATACTATAATAAACATGCAAAGCAACATATAAAACATGTAAACCATAACCTAGTTTTTCCTCTTTTGTTGGGTAACATCTAACCTCACATGGTTTCATAGCCCTAGGCTGCATTTCCACCCTTTACCCAGCAGAGAAATAAGGAGTAAAGGAGCAGCACTCATCTGTTCATGAACTGTATTTTGATTCCCTTCTTCAAGCCTGAATGCACTGAATACAATGAAGAAGGTCAAAGTGATTTTAGGTGAAACTATCCTTCCAGTGGTTGAACACTTCACAACTGTTTTCTATATTTGTTCATTTTTTTCGAACCATCACTTTTTGCCTGGTTTTCTTTTGACTCTTTCTTTGTTATACACATTTGCACTTTTTTCCTTTTTTCACAGGATATGAAAATGTAGTATGAATATGTATGCAGAAATAGCAAGGATATTGCTGATGGTGAACCACTATGCATAATGCAGCTTTTTCTGTCTCATCTACTAGAATTCAGACACACACACACACACACACACACACTGAGAAACATACTACCATGTGCATAGAAATACAGGGCTATAAATCCCCCTTCTTCTCCTTCACTCTGTCACTTTCTCTCCATATACAAAGTCACTTAAATACTTTTCAGATTGCACATACAGTACGCAGTATGCTCATAACAGAAAGAAGAATTTCTCTGTGTTAAACTGTTTGGCATTACAGATAACGGCACACATTCAGGGCCAAATAACATCTGAAGCATTGAAGTCAAAGGCTTTGCAGTAATGCTACAGAAAAATATCATGTTTGATAAAGAGGCCTGTTCATTGACTCCAGATTTAGGTGTAGATGATTTAGATTTAGATGCATGCATTAGGGCTGAATTACAATGTACATACAGTATATCTCCACTTCTGTGTGTAGTTTCTAAATGGGTGTCATTTCATTGGGAAAATCACTGAAGTCAAGAATGAAAGAACTCCATGGCATTACTTTATGGATGTGACTACATTATGCATTCACATACACATGGGGGGGGGAGAGGCAATCGCTATACACAGTTTATGCAGTGTCAGTAAAATATTAGCCAGCTATTTCAGCATTTGAAAATTCACATTTTCCACTTCAAAAGAATGATTTCTGCTGCTGAAGTGAGTGTCAGATTTGTAGAGATGTGTTTTTTCCTATTGTTCCTGAGAGACAGGGCCATAAATTGTCTGATAGTAAGCAGAACAGGAGAAAGAGGATGAAGAGTAGAGCGAAAGAGAGACTGGCAGTGAGATACTAAAGTATGATTGCTTTGCATGTTTGTTTGAGTTTGTCTTTCAAGACAGAGCCATCAGCCTTTGTGCGTAATGGAGAGGGCACCGGGCTATCGGACACCACTGTTGTGCGTAAAACCTGTTGAGTGGGTGGTTACAATTCACCTCTTCGTGTGACAGCTTAGCGGATTAACGATGTTGTTGCTATGGACTACACAAACCACAGCAGTGTAATGTTAAACTGGGAACGCTGGGACTGTTTCTGACAGTGGCCCCTGATAACTGAATAGGCTTAATGCGAGATTATCCATCATATCAAGTCCTAACATGCGATATCGTTAACTGATATTTTCTCGTTTTGCTTGAGAGAAATGAAAACCCTACTACAACACTTTGCACAAAGAATTTCCCGTTTTGATAAAAGTGCACGTGTCTTCAACGCAATGCCACAACTGAAATCATCGCCTGACACCAATTGGCCGATGCGTTCGTGTGTTTCAAGACAAACAAAATGTTCAGACGGAATATGAAACCGAATGACTTGCTCAGATGGACGTGTTTGTGCTGCACCATTCAACTGCCAAACGCAGAGCGCCAACACTTGACAATGAAAACAGGCGTTGCTCCCCGGAACACAGAGAGGGAGGCGAATTAACCTGAAAGTGACATGTAGCTATTATACTGTGGCGCTGTCTCTCCCCAAGATAACTGACAGGTTGCACAGCCACAGTGGGACTCATAGCTGGTGAAATAAGACATATATGGCCCTTTAGTGTTTTGATCTAATATGCCTTTTCATGAAGTATCGTGCGTTATTGGACATGTGCGTCATGAACAGATTGTAGGTGAATTCTATCCAACTTATTAATCTTATTTGGTATCAATGTGTGAATGAATTAGAAACAAATCATTATATTTAAGTCTGATGCTGGTAGTTGGTAGTAAGTGTTTAAAATTGGAGAGGGTTTGAAGGTCGGTATCACCTTGTATTGCTCTTTATTGGCACGAGTGTGTAAACAACAACAAAAACCACGTAACCTCTCTCCCTGTACAAATTACCTTTACATACTTGTGATTACGACTCTTGATCACTGTTACACAGTGCACCTCCCAGTCCTCAAATAAGAATACATTGTCATGAATATAACACCGTAATGTTTAGAAACTGAGACAGAAAGAGAGAAATGGCACCTCTGGAGTTACATACTTCTATCAACAACTAAAGCCTCAGTTGGGCAACCCAGATGCAACAACTCTGAGCGCATCGTGCGGGTGTAGCCTAGTAGACACCACAGTCTGACTCATACTGCAATTACTGGGCTCCCCCTTCAAGCACTTCTCCTATCGTTGGTATCTGTTTGATGCAGAATTTACCCAAATCCTCCGATCTGCAACGCCACAGACCAGCTCACGGGCCGGTAGCAAGAGCCCCTTGAAAAGGAATGAGAAAATACTCCGACCTGCGCCACACAGGTGATCTTACATACACAAACTACAGACCAAGAAAAAAAATCTGCTGGCATTAAATGGTATTTGACATCTGATACGGCTGTTTACAGGCAGACGGGTCAGGAAAACACCACAGGTCTAAATAAATGAAAAAGGCAATGCTTAGTTCACCAAATGCACAAATAAAAATCAAGTGCCTGCATACAAAAGCAGAAGTGTTTTATATCCACAAGGTACCACAGTCGATATACAGTTTAATGTCGAGTGTGTTGCAGGAGGCCTGTCGACCGAAACTGGATAAAACCGGAATTACATTAATTGATGAAATGATTAGAGCAAGAGCTCTCACTCTGTCTTGATCAGTCCACGACATGTTTCCTTCAAATTTGTAAAATTACGGATTGAACCCCCTCAAATTCCGCTCTTCACTCACTGTCCGTTTTCTAACTGGTTGAAAAATATATTAAATTGTACTAATTATTTTAAGCCTTCTCCGATTTCTCAGGCCCTGTTCTGGCCTATCAGGCCTAAAAGCTGAGTCCTCAGTCACCAGCTGAGTTTGTCTCACTATATATTTCCATAAAATGACAAGCAACCATGACAAAGAAGAATGAGTGTATTCTCCCCTCCTCTCCCTCTATCCATCCATCCATCAGCCCCTCTTCTCTGCCCCCCTCCCTACCCGCACTCATGGGTGCAGGTGTGCTGACATGTAGCCAAACAAGAGCAAGAAATGGTCAGTAATGACTGAATGAATGTCGAATTAATGACAGAAAAAATTGACAAAAGGACTTAGAAAAATAAATACAATCTCTTAAATATGCGTAATGGTGTGATTAGAAATATAATATCATAATGATGTTTTTAAAAACGCAGAGAATTGTGTGCCATTGCAGGAGGCGCGGCCGAGGAAAATACGCAGTTCTGCTTTAAAATAAAGTTTATAAAAATATATATATACATATCTAAAATATACAGCGGCCCCACGAGACAACAAATCACGTTTGATTCGTGCAAAACGAGCGGAACATGTCTGGAAAACAACGGAAA